GGTGCTCTCTATCTGCCCAATCTGTTCTCTTCAATATTTTGAGGTTTGATCAATGCAACTGGATATACAACCCTAATTGTGAACCTTTCCTCTGATCTTACCCTTGGAATGCTGGTATCGTTCTGTGAATCCACACAATATTCCTGCGAGGATAATATCTTCCTCCTGAGGTATGACACCAGTGTTCCAAATGAACACTAACCAAGCTCTGTATCATTAAAGCAAGTCATCTACCTCCATTTACAGTCCTTCAGATTTGAAGGCCATCTCTCCAAAACCCTTTTGATAATTTCTGCATCTGTTCATGGTATTTTAATGATATGTCTCTAGCTTTTCATCATTTTGGAAATGCATAATTCTGTGCTTTTATGATCCAGAGTGAATGATCTCATAGATGCCTATATAAATATCCATTTGCTACAATTTTATACATTCACTTAAGTTATGAACATCCTCTTAATTATATGCTTCCAGCCACATTGCTACCAGTGACTGCCTCACGTCATCAGCAAACTTGGCTATGTTGCTTTTTATCTATTCATCTGTGCCATTAATAAATCCACTGATTAGAGGAGGCCCCTACGCAGACAGTTGCTGGAAATCACCCATCACATCCTGCCAGTGCGAGAACCTGTCCTCTTGTCCTGCCAATTAGCACTTTCCAAACCAGGTCAATACTTTGCCTTCAATTCCACATTCTTCACCTTTGAATGATGGCCTCTTATGAGGGACTTTGTTGATTTCCAAAAGAAATTAGGCATAATTACTGTCCTCGGACATTTCAGTGTCCATGACTGCAGGGATTCGAACCAGGACCAGGTAGATCTCAATGACTATGAGATCCTTCATTAGGATTATTAACCTTTCCCAATCAGGGATCTCATAGTCAATGAGATCCACCTGGACTTGGCTCCAATCACCACAATGACTTTCACCACCTCTTCAGAAAGTTGCATCAGGTCCATCAAACATGGTCCATGCTTTACAAATTCATGTTGTCTCTCTCTGATTAGCCAAAATTTTCCACGATGTTCAGTCACTGTGTCGTTCATCACAGGATCTGGTAATTTCCTGACAACAGATTCGATGCTATCTGGACTATCATTCCTTGCTTTTCCCCCCTCACTGTTGTATGAGCGATCCATACAGCTGTTCATTATGTAATGCTGAGCTGTATGCATGATTGCTCACTGAGGTAGCATTGCTGCTACTGTCCTCTTTCAGGGTAGGGATCTACAAGGTCCTTTTGGTTAAATGTGGCAGAGGCAACCCAGTCTGTAGTCTATGGAGAAGAGGCTCCTGTCTTAAACAAGATGTAGAGTATTGCATGATAGCAACTAGGTACAAATGACACTGATGTGATAGACAGTTGTCACAGAGACTGTGAAGAGGAGCTGGATGTTGAAGATCCTCAACTGTTCCTTTGCCACCGTCATCATAGTGGGAGGTGTTTAAGGCACCCCTCAGCATTAACCCTTCCAGACCCTCACACCTTTCGCAACACTCCCCTTTCTGAAACAGTGAGCATGATGTGCAATCTTCCAATCTAACTTCCTGAAGCAACAATATTTGGAAGATTTTAGTTCCTTTGAAACCCTGGAATGGAAACCATCTAGTCCCTGGGCATTTCTCAGCATTTCGTGCCTTTTTATTTCCACATGGCTGCTATTTTGCTGTTGTTAATTTTGGAAAGTCCCTGACACTGATTCAATAGTAGGATGTCTGTCGTACTAACTGCTTCCTCTGCAGTAAATATCAACACCATATGTATTGCACATGCCTGTCATTTCCTCGTTTTCATTGGCGTGTCACTTTCCAAGTGGGCTGTCATGCTCCTGATAATTGTCTGTGCGGGGAATTTGTTGCAATGATTTTGATATCCCTTGCCAGCTAATTTTCAAACTTGGCAGGCATTGGCCAATCTTCATTGTTCTTTGCAGCTCTCCTGTCTGCCAGGATGTGTGCTCTTCCAGCTTCTGGAACATATCATTTAGCACTGTCTTTGCTTCCTTTGAGATCTAGATGTGCTTTCAGTAAGATGCCTGTGGGAAGAGATGGTGAATCCTGTCTTGCAATTCTTTTTAACTGTTGGACTTGTCTTTTGCCGTGATAAGATCTGTTGTAAGTCTTCGAAAGCAATGGAACATCACCTCAATCCTTTTTTTAAACTTCAGAAGATTTTATCATTTGCATATGTGCTGACTCACTTTCATGTTACATAACGTACCAGCGTGTTTGTGGTAAATCTATATCCAGCCAGTTCCTTGTATTCTATCCTTTCAATCTGATTTATAAGTACTTAGTTAAATCGTTCTAAGTAACAATTAAACAGCACACTGAGGTTTCCTTTAGTCAGTTTATTTCTATAGGAATCTATGCTATCTGGGAAATTCAGTCATTTCTCTTTTCACAGCCACTGTTTGTTTGCTGCCTCTGTCTTATTGTCACACCATCCCTTGCCCTCATATCTGTCTGCTGTCTTCAACTTTCTCGCTTTCGCTTTCGCTTTCACTTTCCTTTCTACTCGTATCTGCTTCATTTTGCTCGCTTTGCCGCTAACTGCTGAAACTTGCTGCTCTTTCCCTGAATGCTGTTGCTACCTGAACTGCAGCTGGCTTTTGATCAATATAGAATTGTAGAATCCTTACAGTGTAGATAGAGGCCATTCGGCCCATTGAGTCTGCACTGACCCTCCAAAGAGCACTTTGTTAAATTCGTTCATGTGATGAGGGTGTCACTGGCTAGGCCAGTATTCATTGCAATCTCTATTTGCCCAGAGGGCAGTTAAGAGTCAACCACATTGCTGTGGGTCTGGAGTCACATGTAGTCCAGACCAGGTAAGGATGGCAGTTTCCTTCCCTAATGGACATTAGTGAACCAGATGGGTTTTTCCTGGCAATGGATTCATGGTCATCATGTGAATTGAATTCAGATTCCACCATCTACCATGGCAGGATTCAAACCTTGGAACCCCGGAACATTAGCTGGATCTCTGAATTTACTACCAAGCTGTTGCCTCCCCATTGCATCCCACCCAGACTGACTCTGCCACCCTGCCCCTGTAAATAATTTAAAAAGTTTTATGTTCCCTCACTGGATTTGGAGGATTGGCATATAAATCAAATATTGCCAAACGTTACTCCCCATTTCTGTTCCATCCTCCATATCTTTGAACTCTGCTGATCCAGTAAAGGTTAAACCTTCATTCTTACTTGTGTGTCAGTGTATTTATATTGTAAGAAAGAGAGCGATGCCAGTAATCATACTGTATCTTTGGAGGAAGGTGCATCACTTCTTGCATTGTTATCCCAAATCGACTCTAACCACACAATAGAATTGTGACTAGTACAGCAAGGTGTAAAGCATAGTTTCTGTGTCAGCCAGGCAGTCTAAATCACTGTATTTTAAACTACCTTCTGGCTCTAATTTGCAGTAGAGGCGATTGTCCATAGACGAAAACAGAAATTGCTGGAAACTGAATCGCTGGCAGCATCAGAACTCGGTTCTGAAGAAGGGTCACTGGACCCGAAATGTCAACTCTGATTTCTCTCCACAGATGGTGCTGAGCTTTTCCAGCAATTTCTGTTTCTGTTTCAGGTTTCCAACTTCTGCGGTTCTCTCTTTTTGTCAAGAGGCAATTGTCCAGTTAGTTTGCGGTTAAGTTCAGCGTTTATGAAAACCGAAAGAACTGCGGATGCTGTAAATCAGGAACAAAAACAGAAGTTGCTGGAAAAGCTCAGCAGGTCTGGCGGCATCTGTGAAGGGAAAAACAGAGTTAACGTTTCGGGTCTGGTGACCCTTCCTCAGAACTGGTCTGACAGAGTAACGTGGACTGTGAAAACCTAAGAGTAGTTGGAACCAGATAGAACAGAATCTGCACATGTCACCCATTATATGCAAGGACCAGTCAGAGTGTAATCTACAGTCAAGTGGCCACAGTCTTCAGTCTGAAAGGAAAGCCGGAAACCTCACTGGTAGCAGGTAAAGCTGGAGCGGGCCTTTGCTTCCATCTCACTGCATAATTGGATCATGGCCAATCTGCACTTTAGCTGCATATTCCTCAATACCCTCACCAAATGAATGAAATGCCTTGATTTCAGTCTTGCAAAGTTCTGTTCATCCTCACCACCTTTTGGTGAGATTGAATTCCAGAATTACACAATTGTAAGTGCTTCCTAAATTCACCCCTAAATTTCCTGGTACTGATTTTAAGGGCGGCACGGTGGCTCAGTGGTTAGCACTGCTACCTCACAGCGTCAGGGACCCAGGTTCCATTCGGGTGACTGTCCATGGGGAGTTTGCACGTTCTCCCCTGTGTCTGCGTGGGTTATCCTACCACTGTCCAAAGCTGTGCAGGTTAGGGTGGGTTGGCCGAGCGAAATTGCCCCAAAGTGTCCAGGGTTGTGCAGGGGAGGTGGATAAGCTGTGGGAAATGCCAGGTTGCAGGGTAGGGAGGGTGGGACGCTTTTCGGAGGGTCGGTGTGGACTTAATGGGCCGAACGGCCTGCTTCCACACTGTCGGGATTCTATGAATTTTAGGTGATTTCCTCTGATTTGAGAGTATCTGAGCACTTGAGTGAAAAAGCCTACAACCCAATGGTCTCAATGTGGACTTTACCAGTTTCAAAATCTCCACTGATTTGAGAGTATCTGAGCACTTGAGTGAATTGACGTGGCAAAGGATTATTTGAAAGGCTTGACAATTGCCACTGGCTGCTGTTGGATGGGCTTCTCTTCATTTGTCTGGCCTCCATTGAGTACAAGAAAGCTGAATACTGGATAGGACATATAACAGCAGGTTTCAAATGCATTGTGTTGCTTATTTGGCCGGAGTGAAGAACATTGAGTTTGCAGTTGCTGAGCTTGGGCCCCAACCTTGTAATGATGATCTGTTTTTCTACTTGAGTGTACTCAGGACATCAAATGCTGTTGTTTCTGATTCTTGGAAGTCACTAGATCTGGTTCCAATGTTAATCATGACTGCTCTCATTTACCAACAGGACGGTGGAATCAAGTTGGACACACACATGGCAGACCAGGAAAGAGCGAAAAAAAAAGCAGAAAGGCGAAGAGCCAAAAAAAAGGTTTGTGATTTTTTTCTAACACAGTGTGGAGCTGGAGGAACACAGCAGGCCAGGCAGCATCGGAGGAGCAGGAAAGTCGACGTTTCGGGTTGGAACCCTTCTTCAGAAATGGGGGATGGGGGAAGGGAGCTCAGAAATAAATCGAGAGAGGAGGGCTGAGGCTGCGGAAGGTGGGTGGGATGGTGATAGGTGAGAGCAGGTAAGCAGTGGAGGGGATTGGCCAGTGAGGTGGGAGGAGCGGATAGGTGGGAGAGAAGACGGATAGGTCAAGGAGGCGGGGATGAAAGGGAGGGGTGGTCATGGGATGAGGCCGGTGGGGTGGAGATTTTGAAACTGGTAAAGTCCACATTGAGACCATTGGGTTGTAGGCTTTTTTTTGTTTATTTTGTTGCTTTTCTGTGACACTAGTAAGATTGCTGGTGGAGAAAAGAATGAGGTATAAGCCTGACAAACATGAGGAGCCTGGGCAGAGTGGATAAGGAGCAGCTGTTCCCTTTAGTTGAAGGGTCAGTCATAATGGGACACGGGTTCAAGGTGAGGGGCAGGAGGTTGTGGGGGAAGTGTGATAAAACCTTTTACCCAGAGGGTGGTGACGGTCTGGAATGTGCTGCCTGGGAGGGTGGTCGTGGCGAATTACCTCACATCCTTTAAAAAGGACCTGGATGAGGCACTTGGCACGTCATAACATTCAGGGCTGTGTTACCTTTACAGGTCAGTGCATTGAGTGTAGGAATTGGGAGGTCATGTTGCAGCTGTACAGGACATTGGGTAGGCCACTTTTGGCATCTTGCGTTCTATTCTGTTCTCCTTGCTCTAGGAAGGAATTTGTGAAACTTGAAAGGGTTCAGAAAAGATTTACAAGGATGTCGTGGGGTTGGAGGGTTTGAGCTACAGGGAGAGACTGAACAGACTGGGGCTATTTTCCCTAGAGTGTCAGAGGCTGAGGGGTGACCTTATAGAGGTTTATAAAATCATGAGGGGCATGGTGAACAGCCAAGGTCTTTCCCCAGGGTAGGAGAGTCCAAAACTAGAGTGCTGAGATTTAAGATGAGAGGGGGAAAGATTTAAAAGGAACCTAAGGGGCAACTTTTTCACGCTGCGGGTGGTGCGTGTATGGAATGAGCTGCCAGAGGAAGTGGTGGAGGCTGGTACAATTACAACATTTAAAAGGCATCTGGATGTGGAAATGAATGGGTAGGTTTTAGAGGAATATGGGCCAAATGCTGGCAAATGGGACTAGATTAATTTGGCTTGTCTGGTCGGAATGGTGAAGTTGGACCGAAGGATCTGTATCCATGCTGTACAGCTCTATGTCTCTACGACTCTAAGTGCTGGTAAATGGGATTAGGTTAAAGGTCAGGTATTTCTCATGCGTCAGTGCAGAGTCGATGGGCAGAAGGGCCTCTTTTGCACCGTTTGACTCTGTGAAATCTTGAGAAGGCTGGTGATAGGAGGTAGTGGTAATACCACTGGATCAGTAATCCAGAATGCCAGGCACTCATACTTTGGAGCGTGAGTTTGAATCCACCCTGACAGCTGATGAAATTTGAGTTTAGTAGCAATTTGGAATTGAAAGCTGCTCTCATGGTGACCATGCAATCGTTGTCAATGTGAATGATGGTAAAATCCCAACTGGGTTACTATTTCCCTTCAAGGAAAGAAATCTACCATCTTTACCTGGTCAGGCCTACTTTTGACTCCAGATACACAATAACATGGTAGACCATTAGCTGCCCTCTGACATAGGCCAGCAAGCCATGTAGTTCAAGGGCAATTAGGAATGGGTAATAAATGCTGATGTAACCAGCGACACCCATTTCCTACGAACGAGGGAAAAGACATGTATGAATTTCACCATCAGGGCAATGTCATACAGTTCTCCAGGAGCAAATTACTGCAGATCTGGAATCCGTACTGAAAACAACAAACGCTAGAGATCAACTTATCAAACAACCCACCAATCTCCTGTAGTATTTCCTGATCTCAGTATTGGACAGGTCTGATTCTAGAGTGATACCTGTGTTAATAGACTGCAGGTTTTAATTTTTGCAATTTGTTTACCCTGGCGATCAATGACTAACCAAATTCACAAGAGATTGCAAATATGATTTTGATAAAAGAGTAACAAAGTTGATTATACACAAGGGGAAAAAAGCTGCTTAATTCTGAGAACTATTTGAAGCTGTCTTATTAAAAATGTAAAGAATAAGTGTTCAACCTTTTTTACCCTTAACAACAGCCTTACAGATAGTTAAACTTCAGAACTATTGACCTTGAAAGTTTTTAAAGAGCCTCAATTAACCTTAAACAAATCTCCAGACAACTGGTACTGTTCATGGTTCTCAAAAGCACTTAAACTATGTCTCCCCTTCTTAAAAACACTTAATATAGAAATACAAATTAAGATATGATTAAAGACATGGTGCGGTCTGTTTTAAGACTCCCAAAATTTTTCAAAAATTCATTCATAGGATGAGGGCATCGCTAGCTAGGCCAACATTAATTTCCCATCCCGAATTGCCCGGGGGAAGTTAAGGGTCAACCACTTTGCTGTGGGTCTGGAGTCACATGAAAACCAAACCTGTTAAGGTTGGCAATTTCCTTCCCTAAAGGACATCAGTGAACCAGATGGATTTTTCCAACAATTGGCAATGGATTCATGGTCATCATTAGATTCTTAACTCCAGATGTTTATTGAAATTCAAATTCCATTATCTGTCATGGTGGGATTCAAACACTGATCCCCAGAACATTACCTGGGTCTCTAGATTAATAGCCGACTGATAATACCACTAGGCCATTGCCTCCTCTAATATTTATGTTAAATAATAATGTATAATAAACCCTGATCACAGTATAAATTGTGATCATTTGAAATTTGTCATTCTTGCATTTGTCAAGCTGGACACAAGATAGAAAGCTTTTGATAAGATGTCTCTCTTTTTAGCAAGACTCGAGTTCTGCACTGTCAATCGGCAGTTTAAATAATGCAGTACTTCAATTTGCAAATCTGACAGTTGCTAGTATTGTAAGAAAAACAATGAGTTTGAGCCCAAGGGGATTTCCTTTTTTATGTGCTCAACGTTAGATCATCAGGTATCCCAATAAATCAACAGTTGAGCAGGCCGTTTGGTGAGCAGTTTATTACTGATTCAGTGTTCCAAGACACAAAAACAGAAGTTGCTGGAAAAGCTCGGCAGATCTGGCAGCATCTGTGAAGAGAAATCAGGGTTAATGTTTCGGGTACAATATGCACTGCTCCAAAAGCTTGTGATTTCAAATAAACCTGTTGAACGATATAAAAACTGAAAGAACTGCTGATTCTGTAAATCAGGAGCAAAAACAGAAGTTGTTGGAAAAACTCAGCAGGGCTGGTAGCATCTGGGAAGAAAACTCAGAGTTAATGTTTTGGGTCCGGTGACCCTTCCTCAGAACTATAACCTGGTGTCATGTGACTTCTGACATTTTACGTCAGTACATCGGGGTAATAGAATTGAATGCAGAATATAGTGTTGCAGCTACATAGAAGGTGCAGAGAAAGATCAGCTGTAATATATGAGAAGCCCATTCAAAAGTCTGATAACAGACTGTTGATGGGTGTTTTCAAACTTTTGTACCTTCTGCCCAATGGAAGAGGGTGGAATAGACAATATTGGGTTGGGGAGGGGTCTTTGATTATGTTGGCTGCTGTTCCGAGGCAGTTAGGAAGTATAGACGGGGTCAATGGAAGGAAAGTTTGACCGGAACATTAACTCTGATTTCTCTCCACAGATGCTGCTAGAACTACTGAGCTTCTCCAGCAATTTCTCATAGAGTCATAGAGAGTCCTACAGCACGGAGACAGGCCCTTCTGCCCAACTGGGTCCAAAATTTCTGTCCATGTTAACCCTGTTTCCCTGCACTTGGCCCATGTCCTTCTAAACCTTTCCTATCCATGTATTTGTCCAAATGCCTTTTGAATGTTGTTAATGTACCCCCCTCAACCACTTCTGCTGGCAGCTTGTTCCATATGCATACCACTCTCTGTATAAAAACCTTGCCCCTCAGGTTCCCATGTGTTTTTTCCCTTCTTACCTTAAACTGATGGCCTCTAGTCCTTGATCTTGTCAGCCCTGGGGAAAAAGACTGAGTGCATTCACCCTATCCATGCCTCTCACAATCTTATACACTTCTATAAGAACCGCCCTCGGTCTCCTACGCTCTAAAGAAAGACGTCCTAGCTTGTCCAACCTCTCCCTATAATTCAGTCCCTTGAGTCCTGGCAACATTCTTGTAAATTTTTTCTGCACTCTTTCCGGTTTAATAACATCCTTCCTGTAGTGAGGTGACCAAAACTGAACACAATACTCCAAGTGTAGCCTCAATATTGTCCTGTACAACTGCAACATAACTTCCCAACTTCTTTACTCAATGCCCTGACTGATGAAGGCCAATGTGCCAAAAGCCTTCTTCACTGCCCTGTCTACCTGTGACTCCACTTTCAGAGAACCGTGCACCTGAACTCCGAGGTCCCTCTACCATTTACCACGAAACTCCGACCTTGATTTGATTTTCCAAAATGCAACTTATCTATACGAAACTCCATTTGCCGTTACTTGGCCCACTTCCCCAACTGACCAAGATCCAGAGGTTGTTGACTTGCTCACCGAGCTGGGCTTGTTTTTGTTCAGATGTTTCATCACCATGCTAGGTGACATCATCAGTGGAGCCTCCGATGAGGCGATGTTATTCTACTCCACTTGGAATTTGATTAAGGTCCTGCTGCAATTTCTGATAACCTTCCTCAGTGATGCCGCCTATTTTAGTGTCATCCGCTAACTTATTAACCATGCCTTGTACTTTCTCATCCGAATCATTGATATAGATAACAAACAGCAATGGGCCCAGCACTGACTCCTGAGGCACACCACTAGTCACAGGCCTCCAGTCCGACAAGCATCCTTCCACTATTACTCTCTGCTTCCTACCATCAAGCCAATTGTGTACCCAATTTGCCAACT